GATGTAGATTCGGTGATGACAACTAGGGTAGTCACTAATCAGATTAAAGGGGAAGGCCTGTTCAGAAACCCTCTCCACTATTGCAAGGAGTCTTAGCTGCATTCATCCTCATAGATTCATGGGAATTTTTCTAGCACCAATTTTTCTCTAACCCCAAAATGGCTCCCTCTATCAAACTATCTCTTTCTTTGCTCTGCCAACTCGGTCTTCTTGATCCCCCATGCTCTCAAGCACATCCGCTGCTGCAGCATGCTCCCTGTCAAGTGAGCCATATAATTTACTTCCTAAGCTATTATTGATGAATGAATGCATTGTTTATATCATTAACAATGTTTTTCAAATGTAATAATATAACACTTTACTTGATCTAGAGCAGTGATTCTCAGACATTTTGATTTCAGAAGTTATTTACACCTTTAAAATTCATTGAGGATGCCAATAAGTTTTTGTTCAGACATTTTATTTATTGATACTGGCTATATTAAAAATTAAATTCCAAATGAAAATATTTACTTAATTTAAATATAATTAACATATGTCTATGAAAATGTAATCTCCAAAACAAAGAAAAGAATTAGTAAGAAAGGTAATCTTGTTTCACATCTGAACATTTTTTTTGTGTCTGAGATAGTAAAGACAAGTGTATTCTTCTATCTACTTTAAATTTTTATTAATTAGATCTATTCTTCAGCAAGTTCACACAGGTACATAGCACATACTGACCAATCTCAGCTCCCACATTCTCCCATCTCTCTACTATTCCCGTCTAACTGCCCCCACTTCCTTACAAATCTCTCACATTCAAGTCTATTCATTTTGTTTTGATCCACTGATTTTAGCAGGGTCATCTATGTTACCATGGGTTTGGCTCTTGTATCTACTTAAGTATATAATGTGTTGCATTATCACAGATCAGGCAACCTCTAGAGAGCCAGAGGAAGCATGAGAACAAGCATCACAAGCAACATGTTCATGATATTATAAAAACAGTTCTGACTATATAGACCTCCATAAGGTCTCTGGATCCTGAGCATATATGTAAAAGCCACCTCTGCAATGGTCAATGTATCCAAAGCTCTAATCAGTTTCCCGGCATCTTTAATGTTCTTCTAATTTTTTTGAGCTTGAAGACAATTAAAACTGCAACTTTGAGAAAACTTCCCTTTTCCATGTAAATGCAACTTTTACACATAGATTAGTAGCCCTGGGGATCCATAGATGGACGAAAAAATCTGCTGATATTCAAGTGCTTCATATCCTTGCATACTTTTCAAATCATCTCTGTATTGCTTATACTATCTAATATAACACAAATGCTATTGTTAATATACTGGTTATTTAGGAAATGGCAACAAGAAAATAGTCTGTACATGTTCAATACAGATGCAGTTTTCTTTTTCCAAGATTTATATTTCTCCAATGTGGAATTCACAGTTGTGGCAGGCAAACCATTTCCCTCTATATTCTATTTGGTTGACTTCAAGTCACTCCTTAAGAGTGATGTTGTTGACACCATGCCTAGGTCTTTTTTTCAGGAGCTGTGACTGTTGGCTGATAACTCATAGTGAACCCCTTCTCTGGACAATTACTCAGTAAACTAGACCTACCAACCTGAGGATTTGGCTAATGAAAGACATGCCAATGCTTAGTCGAGTACAAAGGGCTAGCCCAGTGACACGTGGTGGACTCTGACAGGAGTTCAAATGGAGAGCTGAGATCAGATAAAGTTTGTCTCTAGTTTGTCTTCCATGGTCTTTTCCTTGCTCTGCTGCCCCACTTCCCTACTCCTCTTAAGACAAGAGAAATGCTTATCTTAAGTTCTGCTGCTGGCAAACCCATCCTAAAACACTGCAAATTCTCAGGCCCCACATCAGATCTACTAAATCAAAAACTGTAGGAGGGGACTCAGCAATTAATTAGAACAAACTATTACACAATATTTGTTTTTAACAAGCCCCCAGGTAATCTTTGTATCAACTAAAATAGTATCCACCACTTTTCCAGTATTAAGAGCATGAGTTCTGAAGTCAAACCATAATCACGGCCTTGCCTTTGTCCCTGAGGAAGCTTCTTAACTACTGTGTCTCTGTCTCCTTATGTGTACAATGATGGGAATAAAGGCATCTGGATCATAAGATAAAATGAAGTCATGAATGCAGATCACTCAGAACATGGCCAGCAGTTTGAAGTTTATTCCTGTCTTCCTTATGTACATCACTGAGTTTTCATCCACTTGGCTAACATCATGTTTAAATCCATCATTACTATGTTCTGTTACAGAGGTTTTATGAAGATTATAAGATAATATAGAACTAATACAGGAAATTGGCACATAATAGAAAACCAATAAATGGTCACTGCAAGTATTTCTTCATGAGGATTAAAATCTTAATACACAGACATTAATACTGACACAAACATTTGTTTAAATGGAATTTGTTAAAGTCACTGATAGAAATACTAATTTAGACAAAAGTGCTAACACCACAGAAACTCTTCCTTCTGGCTTGAATTCCACCCCTTCACATAGCTACATTCCTTTGGCATGGTTCTTCAACTATCTACAGGCACAATTAGCTAATAACAGCAAAAAGCACAATCATTTTGGCCATTTGAATGTCATGGTTTTAGGGGTAACCGAGTATATTTTGCCTCCAACCATGCCCCTGAGCTCCACCCCTCTGCACACAGAGTGTAGGAATCTTTTCATGACTGATGGTTGAAATGTTGTTTTATACAGTTGTTTCAAAATCATTAATCATCATAATTTCCATGACTGACAGATATGAAAGCATAGTTAAAGCTAAATTTTGTAATTTTTACAAACTAAGATTATACAACCCACTGAGTTCTTCTATCATGAGCATAATCAATCCTCATCATGAAATTTGTTTAAATACTGAAACTCAAAAATTGTTAAATATGAACAGTCCACTGCACTTTAAGAGAAACAATATATTCTACATCTAATTACAATCCATCCTAAGTATATATTTATATTGTCATAATATTTTCTACTCCTTCACAAATGTAAGCATGCTATTAAGATAAAATATTAATTCTGAGATATCTAAAAATGAAAAATGCCAAACTGCACATCATCATACCCATAATCATACCACTGAATAAATAGAAACTGTGCATGAATCTTGGTGAAGAAAGAAAAAAGTTATACAAAAGAAGAATACCATGCAGTCCAGTACTTATCAAGGGAAGTGTGACAGTGAATGCACAGTTCCTATAGCCCTTGAGATGACCTAGACACTGCGACTTCCTGATTAGTCGTGTTCAGTTGTCTCGGAACAACTCTGTGAGATACTGGTGGCTAATTGTGGCTGAAGAAATAGTGCCTCCCGACCTGGAGGCTCTTGCCAGCCTTTGAAAGCATGACAGCATAGAAAGGAAGTGTTCCATGTTCACCTTTCTATTTCTCCAGTCACTTACTGCTCTTTATTGCATGGCCAGGGGATATTCTGTTAGGATTACTAATAGCACTTTTATGTATTGTATCCAAAAAGGAACAAATACTTGAGGTAAAAAAAAAAGTTTACACAAGGTCACACTGCTAGAAAAAATTAGAAAATAAAACTTCTAAATACAAGTGCTTTCTTCTACTTATGATCCACATTAGGCAATCTAATTTACTATGAGTTACCAAACATTGAAAACAAAATGCCAGCAATGACTGGAAACCAACAGACTGAGCACAAGATTCCACTCCAAACTCCTGTAAACATACATTAGTATAACCTTACTGAAGTTTCTCTTCTCAGACATTTATAACTTCCCTATGTAAACTGGTTATCAGAAAAAAATATTACTATTCTATCCAAAGTAAAACCCTTTTAGAACTCAGTCAATTCAAAGTAACCCATCTGGTTGCCCAACTTATATCAACATACAGAAGTAAGTTGATTCTTAGAGGGACCCAGAGTCAAAAGTCTAGTTAGATTATAGATATTATCATGTAACTCTATATGGATGGGTTTATAGTCTATAGAAGCAGTCTGGCTTCAAAAACAGTGAATACAAGTTCATGTATTAAAATTCAAGTACTTTCTGAAGTAAAAATATATAATTGTGGTATAGCCATCAAATGGAATGCCATGCAGTCACCAAAGAGAATGATGGATCCTGCATTTACTGACATGGAGATGCCCATGATATTCTTCTTTGGTACCAAACACATGTATAGGAGAAACCTAAGGAAAATAGGTAGTATAATAGGGGTTACCTACCTAAAGGTATATGAGAGAATTCTTTCATTTTTATATATTTCCCTATCGTTCATTTTGCAGAACAGATATCTACAACTTTTCTTAGGAATAAGAAACACATTGCCAAGTGGTACTGGCTCACACTTTTAATCCCACCACTCAGGAGGCAGAGGCAGGTAGATTTCTATGAGTTCAAGGCCAGCCTGGTCTACAGAATGAGCTTTAGGACAGCTGTTATACAAAGAAACCCTGTCTCAAAAAAAAAAAACCATGACCAAAAAAGGAAAAGAAAAGAAAGAAAGAAACATATTAACACTATTTCCATTTTGTTTAAAAAGGAAATTGAAAATATCGAGAAAGAACTTAACAATTTAATAACATTTAATTTTGTAAATTTCTCAAGTCAATCAAAATATCCTAAAAATTGAGACCCAGGTTCCACAAAGTCCCAATGACAAGAAAAAGCAACAAAGGTCGACTGGACAGACTCAGAGGCAGGTCTGTACAGGCTGAGCTATCGCCAGGTAAAAATCAAGAGAAGAGAGGGTTTTGTGTGTCTTCAGGTCCAAGGAAAAGTATGGCGGGCCATGAGAACTGAAAGGACTCATGGTGGATACCACAGTTCCTGTTTTCATTGCTATAAAGAAAACAACCCATCAGAAATGAGGTTCACACATCTACCACCAACAGTCCCAGGATTCAAGGGCTATTCATTTTTTTTAAATATATATACTGATACTTCATGAAGACTGCAAAGGAGAACATGGCACACTAACTACTCACCTCTGTTGGAAAACCTGTGTGTACACTGGCAGGTGTTCCCAGATGTGATGGTGTTGTTCCATTTTTTATTTGAAACTCTGTTTTGCACATGTAGCCATCTGAGCAGTCCTGTGTTCCAACAACAAAGAATACATTAAAAATGCCAATCAATTTAAAATTTCATCACTTGGAGAACTAGCATATTTCTTAAGTTCTAAGCCATGCAAAGAGAAAGTAGACACATTAAATTGATGACACGGATAAGAAGCCTAACCCAGGGTACACTGTGTATCACTTGATAAATGTGAATCTTGCTTCCCTAGCTTCCTGTTCACTAATGCTCCTCTTCTAATTTTTCCTTCTACTAGCTTACAACACCAAGGTCAGACAGCCAAACTTCAGGATGGTGAACTGTAAAAGAAACACTTAACCTCACACAAAGAAGTACCTTGCCTGAGGGAGAAAGTCCACTGGGAGATTTTAGGGCTCGGGCCACAAGGCTGGAATCAAGCAGGGCCTTCTGCTGTCTCTTCAATGGAAGAGATGTCACAGAGAGATAACTGTACAGGACCTGCCCGAGCTTTCTGAGGAACCTGCATTTTCCACTTCCTTAATGTGGCTCCCAACATTCCATGCACTATAACTTGAGGAAGTTTTTGTCTTACACTGCACTGTTCCCTCAGCTCAGTGGTGCTAGTTCTGTCTTCAGGAGCCAAAGTCCTTTTCCACAGAACTGCTCTTCAGAGAGCTGACAACAACCACATCACTTATGGATTACAAGAAAGAGCTCTCAACCGCCCATTGGTTTGTTTCTTCTTTCGAAAGCATTTTATTTCTGTGTGTGCAAGCCTGGGGATACATGTCTCTGTGAGTATACACACACACACACACACACGCACACACACACACACACACACACACACACACACACACACACACACACAGCCATGGAGGCCAGAGCAGCAAGCTGGGTTCCCTGGAGCTGAGGTTACTCATGTTTGTGAGCTCCATGATGCAGCTTGGGATCCATGCCCAGTTCCCATGATTGAGCAGTCTTAACCACTGAGCCATCTCTCCAGACCCACTAACTGTTTTCTTTCCTGCTCTCTTGTGCTTGCTCTTAAATACAGCCCATGTATAGTGTTCATCTAACTATAATCAGCTCCATCTTAAGGCGAAACTTGCATGAATTGCATAAACTTATATGGAAGAATATAATATCTCTCCATGCACAGGTATGTTTGCATGCTAAGAAATATTAATCCTACCATAATGTCAGCAGCATTCATATGTTAACAGAATCTAAGTAATAATAATTAAGAAAGGAACAGTTGCTTATTTTTATAAAAAGAGGGACACTACCAGGCAGTGGTGGCGCACACATTTAATCCCAGCACTCTGTGAGTCTGAAGCCAGCCTGGTCTACAGAGCCAGTTCCTGGACAGCCAGGGCTACGAAGCTAAACCTTGTCTCAAAAAAGGAAAGAAAGAAAGGAAAGAAAAAAGTAAGAGAAAAGAAGAGAAGGGGCATTTGGAGACAGAAACAGATGTGTAGTTCTGAGAAAGCCACAGGAAGATGGAGAGTCGTGCAACTACAAGCAAGGAAAGTCAAGGGCTGCGCTGACTGCAAAGTCAGAGGTGAGAGCCTCCTCTTCATAGCACCTGGAGGCAGCAGGACCAAACACCTTGCTTTCCGCTCTCTAACCATCAGAACAGGGAGAGGGTCCGTGGTTCTCTCCTGGTTTCATCTGTTGTGGAGTACTTTATTGCGGTACCTCTAGAGGGAAAATGCAATCACCATACTTTTAAAGAGACTTGAGGAGCAGGAGTATAGCACAGTGTTAAACCATTTGTCTAGCACACGCAGGCCTATGTGTGATCCCTGGTACCCCAAAATAAATTTTAAGTTTTAAAAACATTACAGAAAGATAGATTTGGTGGCACCTTAAACATATCTTAGAGTACGCTGAGCTGAGAGCTTGCCAGCCCTCACTTGGAAGCCTGCTGCTTATGATTCAACTCTGAATGGCTGGACCCAATTTATTCTGGTTAGCTAATGCCATGTCATAGGTTATTAAGTATGCTAAATATCATACCTGGCTGGAAAGTCAAGTACCAAATATCCAAAATTATTACTATTAGCTATATGATTAATATTAAACATTGAAACAACTGTCAGAATTGTTTTAAATTCCATCTATATGTCACCCAACCTATACCATCAAAATCACCCTATTTGGACAACATTAGTTTAGGTAAGCTGGCAAATTTAATATTTGCTCAAATAGCAGATACATGCAATGACTATATCATCTTTACTACTCTGCTTTTGGAATAGTAGCCAATTTTCTTCTAAATCATTGGGTAAAGGAATTCTTTGGGGGGTATAATAAATCCAAACAGTAGCCATCCAGAAGTCATTATGTCACTAAGTAGACCCTGAGAGTGATGCCAACAACTGTTGAAGAATGCCTGAGAATTAGAGCCCTGAAGCTGTGCAGGCTATCTAGAGCAGAACGCAATGCCTGACTCAAAGCTCCCCTTTGCAGTGATATTTTCTGTTCCAGTCACTACTCTTCCCTACCTACTTCACATATTTACCATGGATTGCAACTTAATTTGAAGTATTATATCAACTATTATCAAACATCTGCTAGTTTTATTTCTCCCAGTAAATTATACTGAACTCAGGACCAGTTTCTCAGGGAAGCCAGTGTTCTAACTGCAGAATCCAGACTACCATTCCACAGAAGATCCCATCCATGTAGCCTGAAAAACATCCTGGATCATGAGAGCATGAGAAAACAAGGCAACTACGTATCTCACCCAGTTGAACCCTCTCTTAGAGACAAGAGGATGAAGGGATGAAGCACTTTCAAGAAACCTGTCTTTCAATTAATTAAGGGCAGAGCTAGAATTGGAAAACAGTTCATTGAACTTGAGCTATTTTTTTCTTTATGTTTTCTTTAAGTTCACAAAGCAAAATCAGCCAGAGAACAAGACTTATCAGGCATAGGCTACTGTTTACACTCATGACTGACAAGCTCAAGCCACCCATGAGCATTCTGGGGACCAGCAGCATTCCCATCACCTGACCACAGGGCACATGGAATCTGCAGCTCAGCATCAGGCCCCTGAAGCAGTATTACCAAGGTTCCCCAGGTGAGTGGGTTCACATCTGGAGGCACTGTGACAATGGATTGCAAACTGATTGAGTTAATGCTCAACCCTAGCTGCATGAGTCTCCACTCGAGACTGAGTTCTAAATGCTGTGGCTAGGGTCTCATCTTAGACCAATCAAGCCAGAACCCACATCCCAACAGCTTCTATTTCAGTGCCAGGGTTAGGAACCACTTGAGCACCTGACGAGCTCAGAACATCAAGGAAGTAATCGATAACTGCCTAAGAAGAAAGCAGCAACTCAAGACCTTGATGACGCCCATAGCTTAGCTGGATCTTTCCAAATGCTCACTGCTGCTCACTGTGAAGGTTTCACCAAGTGACCTTTGCTACCCTAGATCCTGCTTCCTAGCAACTTGCCCAGCCCTGACCTAATCTTCACCATGAATTGTCCAACTTAGAACTATCCTAACTATATCTCAGTTATCAAGACCTCCTGCTAGTGACCTGCTGTAAAGCAGTTGTAACACTTTACTGTCACTGCAGAAGAGAAACGAACAGGGAAAGTCCAGGTGTAATAGTTCAAATGCCACAAATATAAACCGAAAATACTTCTTCACAGCCAAACTTTTTCACATCTAAGCAGAATACCCATCACTAATTTTATAACAAAAATCACAAATGTGCAAGTCTAAAAACAAGTAAATATGTCTTCTAAAATATGATAAAAGGCTGGGAATCTAGCTCAGTTCACAGAGTGCTTATCTAGCATACACAAATCCCTAGGTTCCTCCCCAGCACTGTATAAGCTATAATCCCAGAAACTGGGATGTGAACACTGGAAGTCCAGAAGTTCAAGGCCATCCTCATCTACATGGCTAGTGAGAGATCAGTCTAGGCTACAACAGACCCCATTTCAAAAAAAGAAAGAAAGAAAGAAAGAAAGAAAGAAAGAAAGAAAGAAAGAAAGAAAGAAAGAAAGGGAGGGAAAGAGGAGGAAGGGAGGGAGAGAGGGCGTGGGGAAGGGCCAAAATCCAGAGGATTGAAGCAATGTATGCCAGAGGTCTGGAGATAGCTCAGTGATTCAGAACATTTACTGATTTATCAGAAAACTGGAATTTGGATCCCAACGCCCATATCTCACCAATACTCAAAAGGGTCCAATACCCCTTTCTGGCCTCCCCTCACATGTAAAAACATACATATACTACATGAACACATACAAAATAAATAATAAAATAAAAAGAAAATGTATGCTGCACAGAATAAAAAGTCAAACAGCAAATATAAAAATGAAAAAGGTAACTCTTGTCATAGAAAAGCACTAATTTTCTCAATCTATAAACAGTTTGAAATTCTTCAAAATGCAAATAGTTACAACAAATCAATGAAAAAAGACTAACAGCCCAAGGAAAATGAGCAAAGGATGGTTGGAAATACACAGATACATAGATAGACAGAGAGGTAGACACCAGAAAGGAAACGCATGTGAATAAGAAGATGTTCAGTTACCCATAAGGAAAATGCAAATTTTAAATAACGTGATAACTTTTTTAAACTATGTGATTGGCAAAGATCAAAAAACTATGATGTGTTAACATGCAGACAAAAATGTGGATGAAACAGATATGGACTACCCACACATTGCCAGGGGCAGAAAATTTTAAATAGGTATTAGATCCCTGAAAAGTAAGTTGGCAAAAACCACCAAAACTTAAAATATACTTTGGGGTATGGTGGTGCACACCTTTAAATGCCACACAAGAGGCAGAGCCAGGCATATCTGTGTAAGTTCGGGACCAGCCTGGGCTACATAGAGAGTTCCAGGGCAGCCAGGACTACTTTTGAGACTGTCTCAAAAGTTAAAAATGAAAGAAAACAAAAAGTGCATACACTAGAGTCAGAAATGCCACCTTCAGGAATGTATATTGCAGATATAGTCACATCTACAAAAATGAAATTCATGCAATGGCACTCATTAAAGTTTCATTTTAATGGCCTAAGAGCTAA